CCCCAGCCAGCATGGCTGGCTGGGGAATTCTGGGAGTTGAAGTCCACCCATCTTAGAGTTCCTAAGGTTGAGAAACACTGGTCTACAGAGTAAGATACTCACTGGAGCCAACGGGAGCTTTTCTGCTGCTATTCTAAAGTCAAGAAGTATGAATCCCATTGCTGAAGAATTGCATCAAACGAATGTGATACTCTCAGCCGGCACAGTCTAAAAACGAGCTCTGTAGCTCTCCTGCAAATTCGTTGCTTTCTCTTAAGCTTGGTTGGCAATCGTTTCCATTGATTTTCAGACCCAGGGTGTGCTGTTTCAGGCTTGGGGGGGTAATAATCATAAATATGATAATTTCACAGCGCAGAAGGAAAAAAAATCAAGCAGTAGGGTAAGGCAGAACAGTTACGTTAGGGATGAATTCCAGAATCCTCAACCAGGGGTGCTAGAAAAGATTCAAGGGGGGAGGGAAGAGAGGTATCATACTTAGGGGGCTGGAATAGCTGCCCTATAAAGAAGACACAATTCTGATTTGAGGAGAGGGGTTGGTTAGAACCAGCAGGAGTCTTTACAATGAATGCACAGTGTTGAGAAATACATTTTTCTTCCGTCTATGTCTCTCTCATATAACATTAAGATGTCAGGTCCTCTAGATTGGGCCAAGGAAGAAGAGCCACCTTGGGAAAATGGTCTTTGGAACTTCCTGCCCCATGATGGAGCTTTTTCTATGAGGAGGAAGAGCTGTAATAGCAGGAGTGTTGTTAATTTTTAATATTATTGGAAAAGTTTATAAGAGTCCATAGTTAGTGACTTTCTTCCCACTTTGGAATGTCTCGGGTTGGCCCAGTTCTTCTCTGTTAACCAGAGAAACTCCACCTTCCATTGGGAAAGCAAGGATGGGACCACCCAATTTGTGACTTTGGTACTAAGAAGGAAGTTGCAGGGGCTTCGGGGGGCACTCCTTGCCAGGTAATGTCTGCCCCCCCCAAGCCATCCCCGAAGAAGAGATTTGGGCTGCAAAGCTGGGCCTTCAGTGCTGTTCCCACTGAATTCAGAGGGGCTTCCTTTGAAAAAGACCCCTCATGGCTCTTCTGGTTCAATGTATCCAGATGGGCAGGGTTTGAGGGAAGCCCTCTCAAGACTTTTTCTGGAGTAGATCCTTGAGTATTAAAAAAAAAAACTTTCCCATCAGGGATGACACGCTTAGTCTAGCAAAGGGTGCCACTGGTGTCTTCCTTATGTTTTGGACTATAGTTCCCATAAAGCTCAAGAAATAACAGCCAATGCCCAGGGAAAGGATTATCAAAGCCCTAGGCAAAAACCTAGGGAGGGCACTAGGTAAACTTTCCTTCAGATAAAGCAGGGAAGGAAACTAGATCTCCTTCCTAGGATCTGAGTCTTTCAGTTATGGATCTGACCTTTCGCTTAACAGAGTTTCTCAACCTTGGCCACTTTAAGGTGTGTGGAGTGGGCAAATTCTGGGAGATGAAGTCCACACATCTTAAAGTGGCCAAGGTTGAGAAACACCGACTTAACACTTACTTGTTTTCCAATAAGTAAACCCTATTTATCTTCCCAAAAAGCTTCAGCTGCAGGGCATAAGCCCCCTATTTGAACTGGGCACACTGGCAATTTGGAGAGAACATAGTGGGCACATTCACAAAATGGCTGCTGTGAGAGGCTTGCCTCTTTGCAATATGCCTGCCATGCTAAGCATGACCACTTGCAAGGCACCCAGAGTCATTCCTGCAAATAAATGGGATGTTAGAGGGGGATACTTTGCATTGTTTTTATTCAAATAAGCTTAGGGGGACAAGTGATGTGGGGCAGGGAACCTAATGGCACCAAGGGAGGTTCTGGGTGGGGCACCAGATTCCCTAACCATGTTCTGCAAGAACATAGTTAGTACCTGGTGAATCACGCCAAATTACCATCACACCAGCAATACTGGACTGGATCTAAACCATCATTCTGAGCAGAGCCTTAAGCACCATTGATTTCAGTGTGTCTCCTCTGGTTAAGTCTGGAGCCAACTCTCTGCCTCTAAATTGCCCAAAGTGACCT